ACAATAGGATTCAGAATGCAGCAGTCTGATTGATCCGCAGGAGGTACCCAATCCAACTCCAGGTGGAAGTAAATCCGCAACCTGATTGGCCTACAGGAGAATCCCGGAATTAGCCAATCACGTGGGGCCCATTGTGTAAATAATGTATATAAAGCAGACATTTCAGGGGAACTTCCATTCCTCCTCACACCTATGAGCTGAATAAAGAGCATGAAATCCACTCGACTCCGAGTATATTTCACATGTTGTGCAGTGAGGAGGGAAGGAGAAAATCAACTGTATTTCATCAGGCAGGACATTGCTAAGTGGCATCTAATCACTGCCTTTTTATATTGTTTCTTATGCTATTTTTAGTTTTGATCAGGTTAATTCTCAGCTTCGTCTTATTTCAGATTGCTGCAGTTCAAGAAAGAAAGAAAGAACCTTATTCCATGTCTCATGAAGGGCACCAGGATAATAGCAAAGGATGCTTGGAGTGAAATGGGAGAGATTTTGTCCTGTACAATCCTGCATTACATGCTGCCTCTATGCATATATTGGATATATTTCTCCAAGGTCGCATCTTACCATGAATATTTATGTATTTATTATGCAATTTTATCTCATCAGTACATTTCCATCAAGACTGAAATCCTTTATTCAAGGGCACCCTTCATGTTGAGGCAATCCCCTATAAACACTAATTCTTGCTGTAATATCATGTATTCGTCTCAAAACGAAACAGAGCTGTATAGTTTTAAAAATTCATGTTATTTATGGATGCAGTGATAAGCCCTTTTTTGAAGCACTATGTGCTTTGTTTCAATAAGTGCTTTGTACTGTAGGTCAGCAATTGCGAACCTATGGCCATCCGTAGGTTATTGGACTATAATCGTAGCAGCCACTATGAGCTGCCCAGGGGAGAAGGCCAGCAGCAGTAGCCATGGAGAGGGCATGGAGAGGCAATGAAATGCTTCCTCCAGCTGCAGCTGCCGCTGCTTCCATCACTTAGGACAACCGCCAGCCCCTTCTCCTCTTCCTCCTCTTCAAGCTCGGTGGTGGTGGCACTGGCGGTGAAAATAGGGACATTCCAGGATCAATTCAGAAGCTGGGATGGCTTTCGTAATTCCAGGACTGTCCCTGGAAAATCGGCTACTTGGAGGGGATCCACAGTAGGGGATCCTCTATCTACCATCTGGGTAAGGAAGCAAGATTATTGGAATTCAAGGCCTACATTGCAACCAGAAGAAACTCTCAAGGAGGAGGTGAAGCAGAGGCAGTGAGGCATCTGCACTGCCTGTGGCCCTGATCCAACCTCTCCTGGGTACCAGCTTCAATATGCCCATGGAAACCCTCTTCCTATGACATGTTCCTTTTTTTCTTTTCATTGAGGAATCACCGTGTATCAGACAGTCCAGGGATCCAGGTGTCCATATGGATTTCTGAAACCGAGCAAGTAAAATTCAATTAAAAGAATTGTCCAAGTTGGCTTTGGGGTGAGATTTTATCCAGGCACGCAGAGTTTTCTAGAGATAGGGCAAGCGAACGAACCTTTTCTCCGGCAGCCTGTGAGAATGCCACCCTTGTCTTTCACATTTAAGTGACACGCAATCTCATAATCATTAGCTCCAAAATGACTAGGTTTGTTAAATATGCCATCTAATCTAGTGAAGCTTGATTTAGGAGCGTTCAATATAATGCATGACACACACACCAATCACATCAATTGTTAAGGCCTTTTCTCTCCCTGTGTACTTAAGCAATTAATGCTTTCATAAAGAATGCCCAGTGTAGCCAGAATACTTATCAGAGCCGCATCAGAGTCCTATTATGAATATAAAAACACATCCATTTAATATGTTGCCAGTATGTGTCTCATCTTAGCCACAAGTACCCAAGTGGGATAATTATCAGGAGAGGATCCAGTTTTGATTGAACAAATGCATTCTCAATCATATCGGTTGAGTAATACAATTCCTTATTCGATCCATATGTAACCATATGAAGGCATATTCATATGTAGCAAGATGTAGCAATTGGTAGGTAGCAAAGTAATGACTCCCCCCCCCCCCATGAAAACCAACAAACCAACAAACATTCTTTATTCGGGTCCAAAGACTCACAAAACAATTTTGACAGCAATGTACAGCAAAAATGTGAAAATGACATTACTAGGCAGTCACTGTGTTTTATCCAAGACATGTTGATTTCTAATTCTTACTACCTCCAAGAAATTTTTTTGCCAGGGCCAGGGTTATATTATTGATGAACATATTTTACTATACTGTGGGCTCTATAAACAAGCCAAAAACCAACTAATTAAGCCCTTACTGGTAAATTTACCTGGAAACTCCGATACCTTTTATCTCAAGTATACTGAATATAAGAAAAATGATATAACCCACCCACCACCATATGCAGTTCCACTCATTACAAGCCACTGAGTTCCTGTGCAAAGCAGACATGTGTTACTTCAAGCAGATTGGGGTATACCTTTCAGTGAGAAATCTGCTTGGCCCACCAAATTTCTGGTAATGCCATTTGTAGCATCATCCTTGTTACATTTAAGTTACAGAGAGTACCATTGGACACAACCATTTGTCCATAGTCGCACGTATGTACATACATCTCAGACATGCTTATGTAGCAATGTTGGACTACAATGTACATGATGCAGTGTGATGGAGCAAAATATGCAAAAGCACCTGGGGCTATCTGTATTGATGGCTTGTACAACTTTGTTGGGGACTGGTGAAGACAGAATGCTCTGTTGTGAACGCAGGTATTGGGTACAGTGCCCAGGCTACAGAACCATGTGCCTTTCTTTCAATTCCATTTTATTGTGCTTTTCAGACTACAGATAAAGAATTTGTAGTGAAATACTCAGTCAATCGTTACAGCACTCCGCATACCCCAATCCAAATGCTATTTTTCCCTCTCTTGGGTGCAACGCAAACATTTCCCTTGTTGCTATCATATCAAGCGCCGCAAGTGTGCAAAGAATTCGCTACGAGAACAAGTATCCTGGCAAATTGTCAGAATACTGTATGTGGTTTTACTCTGACACTCTATGGATGTGCAACAGTATCAATCAACACTGCTGTACCAGCAACAGCTGTTATTACCTGAAGTGGAACAACTGACAATGCACAAAGCCAGGGTATGTAAGATATCTAGGGTTTCTTACATACCATGTCAAGAGGGGTAGCCATGTTAGGCTATTGGAGCAGAAACGACAAAGAGTCTTCTGGAACCTTACAGGAAAATGCACTGATTGTAGCATAAGCTTCCATGGCCCAGAGTTTAGTTCACCAGATGCATGGAATATTATCCTGAGTTCGCAGGTAAACAAACACATGGATGTCTATACTGAGGTGAGAGAGACATAAAATGCAAGAAATAGAGGCAGTGATAGTAACGTTAAAGCTTATCTTCTTGCAAAATAATTACCAAAAAGCCAACTGTCATAATACAGCCTATGCAGCTGATATACAGTGGTGCCTCGCAAGACGAAATTAATTCGTTCCGCGAGTTTTGTCGTCTTGCGATTTTTTTCGTCTTGCGAAGCACAGTGTCGGGAAAGTTTTGGAAAAGCTTCAAAAATCACCAAAGTCTTTAAAAACCTAAAAAAAGGCTACCACACCGTGTTCTATGAGTTGCTCCTCGAAGTCAAGTCGCAACTGTATTAACGGTGTTAAGAAAAAGGAACAAACTTGCAAGACGTTTCCGTCTTGCGAAGCAAGCCCATAGGGAAAATCGTCTTGCGAAGCAGCTCAAAAAACAAAAAACCCTTTCGTCTAGCGAGTTTTTCGTCTTGCGAGGCATTCATCTTGTGGGGCACCACTGTACTGCACTCGGCCATTATGACAGGATGGTAATTTACAGGATAGACTTCACTCCACACATATAATGTTAGTATGGCTGAACTGACACAACAAACAATCTGTGCTGTTACCCAGGGATCTATTCACATAGAAGCCTGATTAGAAGCAGCTACCCCTGTCCCCCTGAAAGCCACTGGAAGGGAAAATCAAACCCCAGGGTTTGCAGCACATACTATTTTTGTAGGTTCTTACTTTGCAATAACCATATCATTGTTGAGTATTGATGGTGTTTATACTTCAGCTCACACATGTTCCTTTCCGGGATGTGCTTGGAACAGGCTTACAGAAATACACAGATTTAGTGGATCAATATTCCTACTGATATTCCCATATATTTATACTTTTCTTAAAGGGTTCTTTTCCATGCAATCAATGAATCCTGCTGACCACTATAAGAACAGGATGGTGGATGAGACAGACCTTAGGTGTGATCCAGGAGGACTCTTCTGTGTCCTTACGTTCCTGAGTGCATACAGCATTCAGATTTGTAGCGACACAAATCTTGGGCAAGAAGGGGAAAGCACCGCAAAGCACCACAAAGCAGAGACCAGTTGCTAACTTCTAGCACACAAAATTCGGGATCCTCTGCATACTAAGCAATGGAGTTAATTGTGATTTTCTAGTAGGCCACTTTAATGATGCTGTACTTTTCAGTAGCGATTAAAGGTTGTCTCTCAAAGCAAAGGACCGTGTGAAGTTGCTGCCAATCGAGATGTATCACTGAGCATGCTTCACACTGCTGAGAATGCACTCCTGTTCCCCGGACTTCTTTGTAACTGCCTCGTCTGAAGGATGCTTCTTCTAATCAGCAAGCTTTAGTTCCACTCGAGCGCCTATCATTCAGCAACAGGCTCTTAATCCCCCTCTGATGTTGCAGATTAATAACGTTGCTATGTCTATAGAAGAGTTTATCTTCCCTTTGATATTTTTCATTATTCTAAAATTGCCCGCTATGTAGGAACAGCCTGTCACTCGGAGGACGTCACACTGGCAAGAAAAGGGTGGGGGGACGCAAATAGCTTTGTCATCAACAGTTAAGGAAATGCAGTAAAAAATGGGGAAATAACTTCCTCCAGTTTCAAACAGTGTTTAAATTTGCCCAAGAGCAGAATAGGTGTCTCCAGAGAAATTAACTTAGCTGGGGCAACTCAGTTGGCAGAGCATGAGACTCTTAATCTCAAGCTCTGGGTTCAAGCCCAACACTGGGCAAAAGATTCCTGAATTGCACAGGGTCAGAGCAGATGATCCTCAGGGTTCCCTTTGATGGTACAGTTCAATGATTCTCCGCCCAAGATGCTCGCCTCTGAAAGATTAGTAGGATTATATAAATCCACCGTTCATCATTTATGAAACTCGCAGGTATTTCCATCCCAGAGAGGGGAGAGGAAGCATATGCTGTGTTAAGAGAGATTCCATATAAAGCTCTTTGTACATTGATGCAAGGGAATATAAAAAGCTCCTTGTACTTTGGATATAAAAGGAATACATGAATAGTGCATCACGCTCTGAAGTCGGGGATTCAATGAGCTGAATAGCTGCAATGCTGGCTGAAAGGACAGAAGACATATTCATGTTTGTCATGAGGAAAAGAGAGCATTCTACCTTTTTAAAAAATAAAAAATTCCTACCCTCTAATGCACCACTGGAGAATGGATTTTTGAGACAAAGGGCAAGCACCATCAAAATGAATGGTGACTTCACAGCTTTGGTTTCAGTACAGAGAACAAGCCATAAATCTGTATCTCCCCAGCTCCCAGCTCCCAATAAGACTAGCCCCTTGACTAGAGGGTTCTCCTACCTCTAGGATGCTGAGGCATCTAATGATTGTACTATAAATTGGTATTGCTATAATGAGGCTATTATTGGATTGTAATTGAAAACTAATAAAAATTATTATAGAAAGATAAGGGGTATGGAGAGGCCTACCTCCTCCTTCTGAAGGCTAGCTGTTTCTATGGCAACACATCTGTACTTGACTGACTTTTTAGACATGTGAAAAGGGTACGTAACAGGCTTGGTTAGGGCCCTTAACAAAAAGATTGGTGTGACCATTTCAGGAGTTTGTGCTACTACAGATTCCCATTCTACAGACACAAAGCCATAAGGCTTTGAGAGCATGTAAAGGAATCCCACCCACTCTGCAATCCTGTAACAATATTATCTAGTAAGTACTATTGACTTTTGTGAGACATATATATTTGTAAAAACCATTTATGATTACAACTAGGCAGTCTGGAAAATCCTTGCCTCTGGAGGCTTCCCAGTTATCCATGGGCACCGCAGCCAAGAGAAAAACAGGGGAATATTTTTATGCCCTCCAATCAACTGTCTCCTCTTGCTGATTTACAACCAGGAGTTGCTCACCCAGTAGGGCAGAAACACAGCAATAGCCTCCCAGCAGTACCATTGCTGCCATTTACCAGGAGGGGGCAGGAGAGGGGGCATGAGTGGACCCACTGGTGGAGCCAATCCAGAACCCACATGGCCCTGACCTTCCCTCTTCCTCATCCCTCCTCCTCCTTGCCAGGAGGCTATTGCTGTGGTTTCACCCCATTTTGAAATCAATAAATTCAACCAATAGTACTAAAAACAATCAATATATAAATGCAACAACAGCAGCAACCCCCTCCCCAGCATAAAACCATGCAGAAGATTAAAAGCAGTAAGCAGCACTGAAAAGCAGAGCTTAGAGAAAACAAAGTAGTTGCGAGAACAGAAAGCATGGCATCTGAAAAGCTTGGTCAGCAACTGCAAGCGATATGACCTGTATCTCAACGGTTACTTACACATAAGCTTCATTGAACTTGAGGGTACTTGTATCTCTGAGTACCATGAACAGGCTTGGATTGTTAATCCATCTCCTTGACTTCTACTAATTAACAAGTTGGTAGTAAAGTTGCAATGGCTAAATTTTTTAATAGCTCCAGATCTAGATGTAATAGCTCTTTAATTGCTTAATTAATTAAAAACGGTCACATTCATAAGATAATCAAAGTTCATCACAGCCAGACATTAATATTACAGGGAGATTCTGGTGAAAATGTATCTATTTTCATTCTTCTCAGGGCTTTTTTTCTGTCAACTCGCCAGAACTCAGTTCCAGCACCTCATGCATTCACACCTCACAAAGCCTAATGCTCCACTTGGAAACTCTGTTGATGAAGAAATGTATCACCCAGTGAGAGGCTGGTTCAGCTCTGAGAGCTGAGTGGAGGCATGCCTCTGGTCAACCCCACCACAAACTTACCACTACCCAAGGTAAAATTATGTATTTAAATGTGTAATTTGTTAGGCCTGCCATATGTCTGGAATTTCGCAGACATAGCCGGGATCCGTCCATCAAAATGGTGTCTGGGCAGAATTTTAAAAAATAGACAAAAATGTCTGGGGAAACCAGGGTGAATGGCAGCCCATATCAGAAGTGTTGATTTTTTTTGGCGATTTTCCTTTAAAAAAAAAAACAGCTTTAAAACTTCATGGGGTTTTTTGGGGGGAAATTTTTCCAAACAAAGCTCAAGTATGTTGGTTTTTAGCATGGTTTGTTTTTTTAAAAATTAAAAAATGGTTGATCAGCACAGAAACAAAATGGAATGGAGTTATGGTTGAACACATATGAAACTGACACAGGTAGGGCAGGAAATATTACCATTACTATTAATTACATTTATTATATGCTTTATCTTGTCCAAGGCAACTCAAAGTCTCTTTACCAAAGCAAAGAAAAACAAACAAACAAAACCCCCATATATTCATTAAAACTGGGTGGGGACATTTAAGACACACACGCAAAAAAAATCTTCCCATCTCTACTGGAGTTTAGGCAGGAGACTGCCAAGGAATCATCACAGAGTGTGTTTGTTAAGCAAACACTCAAGGTGTTCCACCGTGAGGCTGAAATATGTCCTCTCGTCTTGAAGCAAGGCAGTGGTTGCAGCAGGGAAGGAATCTTCTCAAGACTGGTCACTGACAGCCTAATTACCTTTACTTTGTTACAGGCAGACAATGAGAGCAAATCTTTATGTGACTGACATTTCATATGAAAGGTGGTTCATACAGAGCTTATAAAAATAAATAAAAGTGTGACAGTTGTACAAACTCATTTGGAAGAAATGGTAAATATTAAGCTTGGCTCCCACAAAGCAAATAAAATGGTCGTTCAGGAGATTTATGCTTAAGAGGCCTGCAAATTAGCCTATTAATGTTAAATTGGAGTGAAAATAGAGCTCATACATAGTAATGAAGCTGAAGTCAGGGCCCTCAGAGTTAACTGGGCAGAGCCATCATTTTGTGTTAGCGAAGGCAGAACGCAGGAAGGACTAGGGGATGAGATGCAAAACGACACCATAGGCAGAGAAAGGCTGTGGTTGCTGTTCCCCAGAAACCCAAGCTCTAGCGGAGAACTCATTCCTTCGCCTTCTCGCCTTGCTCAGAGACTCGCTGTAGCTCATCCTTATGTGAGAGACGAAGGATGAACCAGCTAGATGACAACATTCGATTCAGCAGTTTCATCTATAAAAATGAGGTAGTGGGTCCATTGAGGGGGAAAGGAGGACTCTGAGAATCCAGGAAAAATGATTCTTTCCCCATCTTTAAAGGTATGTATAGAGATGGATAGAGATATAGGACAATCTTTTCACTAGAGTTTTGGAAATTCATCACATTTCACACACACACACACACACACACACACACACTGTCTACATCACAACTGATCTGCCCTTAAAACATGTGAAAAAAGAGCTGTGTTGTTTGAAAAATGGCATGCTAAACATGGCAAAGGTTTGGCTGCATTGGCATGCTGAGACTAACATTTTGGATTTATAGTGCACTCCCGTGCAGGTGTACTCAGAAATAAGTCCAACAAGACTTATAGTGCAAGCCCCTGCACATCTGCTCAGAAATAAAGCCCCATTTGCTTGTTGTTATTGGCATCCGTCTGTCTTGAGAGACAATGGAGTGTGCCTCTGGGGGCAGGAGGTCACACTGCTGTGTGACCTTTCTGGGGCACAGGCCTGAGCAGTGTGGGTTGAGGTCCTTGAGATGGACAAGACACCCATCTCTGCCTCACTGATATGGCCCAAAGGAACACAGAACAATATGTTTGGCACCAGCTTGGTTGCAGGAGTTACTGGAAGGAGGCATACAAGGTATTCTCCAACCATCCTAGGGACTAAGGGTTTGCTCCTTAGCCTATTCTTCTCCCAAAGATATCCCACAAGGCAGCAGAGTTTGAGGATGAGAGTTTTCCTTCTTCTAGATGGGCTACCTTACCAGGTTGATGAGCTCCTACGTGCCCCTCACTTTCCTCTACAGCAGCCTTTCTCAACCTGTGAGTCCCCAGATGTTGTTGAACTACAACTCCCATCACCCCTAGCTAGCAAGGCCAGAGCTCAGGGATGATGGGAGTTGTAGTCCAACAACATCTGGGGACCCACAGGTTGAGAAAGGCTGCTCTACAGCATGGGCAGAAACTGCCTTCTTGATCTTTGGACCCACTACTGGTCTTGTCCACTCAATCTGCCTGTTATGTACTGAAGTTCTCACCCTGGGCTAGCGGGGGGGATACTGTAGATAGTTTTCACTCAGGTCCACATATGCAAATAAGGGAATGAAAGTGACGTTCAGTGATTGGATAGTTACAGAAAGTTGTTACTGTTGCGTTCTAGTGGAGCTCAATATAAGCAGGCTGGCTGAACCCTTCAGTTCAGTTCTGTTCTGGCCTGTGAATAAACAAGAGCTGTTTGAAGAATCGCTGTGTCGTCTGATACGTTCACCCACAACTTAACACTGCCAGACCCTTGTCTTTGCATGCAGGGGAAGTCCTTAGCTCATCAAGGGTTTGAGACCCATTGGCTACCTTCACCTGGTTTAGCCAGCCAGTTGAAACCATTTTGCATGCTGGCAGCTTCTAACAGCCGCAGGTGAGAACTGAGTGCAGGGTGGGGACCAAAGGTGGACAAATTACCCCAGAAGGAGCATGACATGTTCCCCATACTACATCTCCCCTAACACCCCATACATACAGCAGCAGTTGGCAGGGCAGGGCTGCTTATCTGACCTCTCATCCCCTTTGTTGCTCTGGCATACCAGGAAGGAAAGAAGGCAGGGCAAGGTAGCAGTGAGGTCAGCATGGTGCAGTTGCACCTCCGGAGCCAATCAGGCACTTCCACGAGTGTGTTTGCACTGTAGCATCTCTCCGCCACCTCTCT